CAAATTATAAACATGAAAGTGTGTAACCATTAATACGGTGAAAATTAGGCTAAATTGTCATAGAAGTCAAAAACGCGAAAGAAGAACAATATTAATAATATAATAAACATAATAATAATAATAATAATAATAATAATAATAATAGTATAACATACAAATTCAATAGTAAAAAGACTGGGAGAATTACAATATAAAAGCAGTAAACATTTAAATAATTAAAACAATTAGGCTAAACAATTTATGTCATAAAAGTAAAAAATCGCGGAAAAAAACCACTTTAATAATAATAATAATAAAAATAATAAATAGTAAAAAAAATAATAGTAATAATAACAACAATACAATATACAAATTCAATAGTAAGAAATATTGGGGAACACAATATAATAAATACCGGTACAATATAAAACCAGTGAACATTTAAATAATTAAAACCTTAAAATACAGATAATATGAGGCTAAACAATTATGTCATGAATGTTAAAAACGGGATACAACATACAAATTCAATAGTAAGAAAGATTGGGAAAACACAATATAATATATACAATATAAAACCATTGAACATTGAAATAATTAAAACCTTAAAATACAATTAATATGAGGCTAAACAATTTATGTCAAAGTATAAAATGGGAAAGAAAAATATGCCTAATAATAATAATAAATAAGACTTTAAAATAACGAAATGATTATTCATGGCTATGTAATAAAAAAAAAAACGATGGCGCTTCAGTCTTGGCATTGATTTGCTCCTTTGCCGTTTTGGTCTGTGCCAATTGCCGTTTTGGTAGTTGACATTGCCGTCTTGGTCTGTTGCCGTTTTGGTACTTATCATTGCCGTTTTGGTTTATTGCTGTTTTGGTCATTGCCATTTTGGTCATTGCCGTTTTGGTTTTTTGCCGTTTTTGCCAAATATCATATCAATAACATATCATTAGAATGAAGATATTATACCTCCTACTGGCTCAAATACATAGGCCTAATCGTAATATTATATCATGCGCCCTCAATCAACAAATACGGTATTCGTAAAAGCAATAGGTACAGTACTCTGCAACCTTCGTTTTTTATTTTAATAATAATAATAATAATAATAATAATAATAATAATAATAATAATAATAATAATAATAATAATGACGATGGCGACGGCGACGACGACGATTAAGATGATGATGTTGATAATAGTAGTAGTAATAGTAGTAGTAGTAGTAGTATACTACTACTTAACACATGGAAATGTGCATAATAATAATAATAATAATAATAATAATAATAATAATAATAATAATAATAATAATAATAAATAATAAGAATAATAATAATAATAAACTCCTCTACATGACTTACACCCTCCGAACTATAAAGTTGGTCGAGTTTCATAGACAAAGGGAGGAAAATACCGCACCGATCGAACATGATACTGCTAATTAAGCTGAAACGCAACAACTATAATAAAAGATTATTTTCTACCATGGTTGTTCACCCGGACATAACTTTCCACGGCTGAAAATGATTACTCATGGTATTATGGCAGTATACCGTACGTATGTAGTAATCGCCTACTTTTAGAACAATCGTAAGTTAGGCCTATCTTCTACAAGTGTGAATTCCCAGTGATTGTAGGGCATTATTGAAAATTTTAGAGTTAATCGAATTGATAAATAAAAATAAAACCATAAGGGCCTACACATTATTTATTTTGGCCTAGGTCGTCCTCGTTTTTACAGGTCTCCTATTATGACAATTGGGAGTTCAGATAATAATGACGATATGAGGCATACATGACTCAAAAATAAAGAGTCGTTAAATTTTATGCACGTTTTGTAGCTATAATTTAGTGTCTTGTGCATTCTGGCAATGCAACGGAGCTAAACAATGCCTTAACTCTTTTTAACGCCAACATCACAATTTCTTTGAATGAAGAAACGAAAAGTTATAGGCCTGTTAATCACTTCTACCTCGCGTCGGACGTCACTTATAACTGAAGTTTGCATAGAGTAGGCTGTAACCTATATATTTATATTATTGCTGTATTACTATAATAATAATAATAATAATAATAATAATAATAATAATAATAATAATAATATCACGACTTTATATGGCGCCAATTCCAAACAAAATTAAATATCATTATTATTATTATTATTATTATTATTATTATTATTATTATTATTATTATTATTATTATTATTATTTATTGTTATTATTATATACCTACCATTACTTTCTTAAGCCTTCAATCTTGCATTTCATGATATCTATTTTCTTTTTTAATATGCGATAATGATTATTAATTTAAAATATTTTGCTAATTGGATCTTTGCTTGATCTCTGGATTCATTCATTTTACAGTACTACATAATATAGTGAATAATCTTTATTAGCTTATTGTTTAAATAACTAGTGCTTACTTTCCCAGTAAAAAGTAACTTTCAAAATGGTATATTTATGATATAATAACCGATAGAGGACACAAAAGGGTATATGAAGTCAGAAATCTTGATTATTCAAACGAGATACTTAGAGTACTGAGAAGGATGGGGTGGACGGGTGCGGGATGAAGTCATGAATGTGCTAGGTTAATTTGATTATAACTGTTTATATTATACGCCACCTCACACTAGAAAAAGCTTAAAATTATTGATATTTATAAATTACATGAACTATATGTTCTTAAATTTATTTTTGATATTTATCACGGAGAACACCCCATTCTACTAACGATTACTTTCAAAATATCAATCACCCATATAATACTAGATTTAACAATACTATTAATTTTTTCCTTGTCTAAACCTCGTATCAGTTTAGGCCAAAACAGAATTTAATTTCATGGTGTTAAATCATGGAATGATCTTCCCTTAGTTACTAGAAATATTACTTATAGAAATCATTTTATTGCAGCAGTTAAAGAAAAGTTATTTTTAAATATATTTCAGATCCACTTAATTCAACTTATCACATACATAATTTTTAATTTTATAATTACTTTTGTTTATAATATTATTTGTTTATCTCCTGCTTCCGTTATTGTTCGTCCAAATTAATTTATTCAACTTATTGTAAATCTAGAATATTTGGTTTGTATTGTTTTTCATCAAGGAGATTGGTTTTAATTAACTATACCTTATCACTTTTTGTCAATTATTTTATACGTAATGTGAATGCAGATGTGAAGAGAATGAAGAAAAGTATGTATATACAGCAGGCCTCTGTGTTTAATCGTATTAATTATTGGTATAATTAGGCCTAAATAATGTAGGCATGAGTGGAAATGAACGGGAAGAAAGAAAAATGAATAGTTTTATTTCAGGTATGTTTTTTTAATATCAAACAGGTTATACAAAATCAAAACAGGCATTAATGAGGTAATTCATTGGATAACATAATGTTATTCCCGGCGTAAGGGCTTCCAATAATTAGACTAATTCTTGAGGAGTAAGAAAGTGGAGCTAATCGCTAAACGTCCAACAATAACACATGTCCAGATTTAAGCTGTAGATTATTTAGGATAGAAAATAAAAATTCTTTTCTTCATGTTTCTATTGAACATGAAAACGATATAATAGTTGGATACTTAACGAACTTATTGATAGTGTCATGTGCACTGGCATTACACCAAGAATCAAGATGAATTTTAAATAAAGTATTTGTTCTTTTTATGACTGATTTGATAACCACAACCTTCTAACGCGTTAGTCCTAAGCGTTTGGAAAAGCAAGGACAAAGCGTTTTATATATACAATGTGGCATATAAAAATTCAATTGATAATAGATAATAGTCATTCCATTATTTCGCTTTTAAGAGCATGAGATTAAATCTTGAATTAGTTACTACCCTGAATTTAATATACCGTATACTAGTTGAATAGATACTATGAGGTCCCTATTCAGAAAAATAACAAATTGCGTGTATATCCTTATAAACATATTTACATAAACAAAGCTTGTCCAATCACAAGATTTAACCATTGCAGTGTTGAATACCTTAGGTGGTTTTAAACCAAATTTTATATATCGTTTACTCAGTACAATAAATAACGTAACATAGGCCTAGGCCTTTTATCATTTCCGAAATGTCATTAAAGTCATTATAAACATTTCATTTTTTTATAGTGTTACATCAAAAGGAAATAAAATAGCAATGAAACCTATATATAAATATATGTATACTATATATACCATATAAAAACATGTTTACGTTCAGCACCCTATGATTCTTGCATATTTAAAAAACAATACGAGTATTCGCATTACGTAAAATTTTTAACTTATATTTTTTATTTAATAAAACAAGTTTCAGTATTGCATACTAAAAACTAGACCCACATTAACAAACCTATAGTATTCGCATAACGTAAAATTTTAAACTTATATTTTTTTAATAAAACAGATTTCAATGAGTGATCAGTGGACAAGGTAACTCACATACCGGTACTATATAACTGGTGTTAAATGATGTTCGACTGATACCAAAAAGAGACCCACATTAACAAACCCCATATTGTCCAGTTATGCCGATTATACCCATGAAATGTGGCAATATTATTCTAGTAGTTCCGACCAGCGACTTGGGCCTATACTTCAGGATGAAATTTGCTGATCAAAACAACTGAATTCAAGGGAAAGTCATCTTTTTGGTAGGCCTAATAGCAATATGCAGACGATAACTAAATCTGAATCAGTTAATGCCTACTGTGTATGATTTTATTTTTAACATAGTCGTTCGCAGTTGAAACCAAGATAGTGGTTATTTATCCATTAACTTAGGTAAAGATATAATATAACATTTAATAAATACCGGTACTATATAGTACAAACTGAATCGAGTGTTGTGTGCTTTTGACACGACTCCTTGTCCTGTAAAGCGTAATCTTGCCCTGTTCAGCCCCCCCCCCACTCCCGATGGTGCCACCCCTGTGTTTTATGCCCCTATAGGGGCCCAAAACAGCGTGGAGCATTTAAAAAAAAAGCTCCACGCAATGTTGTCCCGTTTTTGGTGACACGTTTAAAAGCTAAACGTGTTTAGACATAGCTTAATGTATTTAGGATCTTGACGTGTTTAGCATTAGATGTGCTTTGGTATTTGACATCATGATGTCAAATACCTAATCTAATACCACATCTAATGCTAAACACGTCAGAAACCTAAACACATTAGGCGGGACCTAAACATGTTTAGTTTTTAAACGTGTCACCAAAAACGGGACAACATTGCGTGGAGCTTTGTGTTTAAATGCTCACCGCTCTTTTACAGTGTATATAGCCGTGGTTTGCTTATATATATGGCCATGATGATATGTCACTATTACCATATTTACATGTCACATGTTTTTGTCAAATACAATTTAATAGTGTGGACATGACTATATAGTACACTTGTTTCAACGAAGTTAATTCAGTTTTTGTTTATTGTTCATGAATTTGCCAATTGTGCAGCTTTTGCCCTTTGAACCGCTAGCATTCTCGCGCCAAGAGCTTCCTTTTCACGTTGCATTTGTTCGTTTTCTTGTTTTTCTCTTTCCGTCAATTTTTTTAACTTCATTCTACGATTTTGGAACCATATTTTTACCTGCATAATAAAAAAACATTTAAAGTTTTTAGGCTCTTTAAATGAAATTAATCCTCATTAATAACACTTTCTAAAAACCAAACTTTCAATTTTCTTAAATTACATATTTCAAGTAAATTTATTAGGTTATTGATCATCGTCATCACCATCATCATCGGGCCATCACCATTGTCACTATAACCATCATCGTCACCATCATCATCGTCATTTTATGGCATAAAATATAAATGCAGTGTGAGGATTTGCACATAAAAGGGAGGACTAAATCGTTTTCAAAGGGCCTAAGAGTTGTTTAATTAGTTAGCAATATTTCAAAAACATCAATGGCGTAACGATGAGACCGGAGCACTGTCGCCAATTCCATTGTGGGATTTTAGTTGTGCTCGTTTTAAAAAACGAGCACTTCGTTGCTTGTCATTATATTCTAAATATTCTCAACGACGAAATACATGATACTTCAGTCCAGGAATTTGAAATAGAGGAACCCAATGAGGGAGGGTCTACACCACCTCAGCCCCACGGCGGTTTTGGCTGAGGTATGGAAATTAGTTAGTAATCAGTCACCACTATCGAGAGAAAGAAAGAGAGAGAGAGAGAGAGAGAGAGAGAGACAATTCAAACTCAATAGAACCAGGAATAAGAAACAATGCAGCTTACCTGTCGCTCCGATAAATTGAGAGTTTCTGCTAACCTTGTTCGTCGATCTCTCGTTAGATACATATTTTCTTGAAACTCTTTCTCCAGTTCGATAATCTGTAACTTCGTATACGGTCGCCGCTTAGTCCTTCTTGGAGTACTTGTAAGCGAGGAAACCCATGAGCCCGACGGAGGCGAACTTACTGCAATTTTAAATAAACGTTTTAAAGATAATGTCTTTTTATCATAAATTATAATATTGTTCATGTGTACGGTGGTTCACTGGCTTTTAGAAAATGTATTAGACGAATAGACAAGCCAGTGAAGCGACGTCTAATCCATTGGCTATGCGCGTACGAGTTCCTTGTCGGTGGCGTAACCATGAGGTAGGTGATAACAGTGCCTGGGTACCCTCTTTCTGTTCAAACATAAACGAACATTTACTATTGTTTGTTTATGTTTATTTTCAAATATAAACAAATAATAGTAAATAAATGCAAAGTAACTAATTTAGAAGTTAAAAATCAAATTAATGGTGTAGTCATATATGGTAACCATCGATATGCTCCCTCTCAAGTTTAGCGCCTTGCGCGAAGCTCAATGGATGTATGTTTCTATCCAGGGCCCTATTTTCAAGATATCGGCCTACCATGTTTTAGAAAGAATTGGGGTATTCAGGAGTACATTGGCCAAAAGTGGTAGCGAATTCAGTGGGTTAAAGGGAGGGGACATTTTACTTTGTTTGACTGCCGATATTACATTCCTTTAGTATAGGCCTACTAAAAACCCCAGCCCTGCCTCTTCCCCTCTTGTTTTCGGAAATCTGGTTCATTTATACAGGAAAATATTAAGAACAGTAATATAGACAAGGACACCATCGTTAACAAACAAACGTCAACAAAAATGACGACGATGTCAGCAAAACATTATTAATAATGATAATAATAGGCCTAATAATAATAATAACAATAACAATAATAATAATAATAATAATAATAATAATAATAATAATAATAATAATAATAATAATAATAATAATACTAAACCTCTTTTGAGAAACATATCGAAACTCTTTAAATTCAGTTTGTAACTACAATTTAAATGAATCAAACTCTTGCACTTTTTAAATGTGGAATATCCTAATTATATTCTATTTGGATTCAACCATATGTTCAACCATATCAGTGCACTGATGATGTTGTTGGTAACAAGGAAACATGTTTGCAGCTACAGACAGACAAACAGCAGACAGGCCTATATACAGCAATGAATAAATTAATCCTTATCAAGTTAAAGCTGATTTTACTCCTTCTTTTCGTAAGTTTGGCAACATTAAACTTCCAACAAAATACTAGTGTCGAAGCTCGTCGATGCAATGCAGACAACTGGAGAAGCTTACGAAAAAAGCAATTAAAGCAGAAGCCGATGTCAATTTAAAAAAAAAAAAATATATATATATATATACATATATATATACATATATAATATATATATAAGATATATATATATTATATAGGCCTATATTATATAGTATATATAGTATAGGCCTATATAGTATATTATACATTAGGCTCACATGTCTGTATGTGTGTGGGTGGGTGTGTGTGTATTAGTGCTTTGACAAACCGGCCATATTGTTATCATTATCCAAATAAATATGTCCTTGGTTTAGACACTAGTGTATTTTTATTCAGGAATAAAACATATAAAATATTATAGCATAATGATTATAAAGTGGAGGATAGGAATAAAGCCCATATTCCCATCAGGTAATCAAACGGAACGACCAATTAATAGGGATTATTTTTATGATTGTATAAGATTGGAGCAGCCCCTATAATTTGTTTCCCCCTTAAATAGTGTACACTGTAGATAGAAGATGCATTTTTAGACCATTTTTTCGAGAACTATAGATGAAGGAACACATTTAATGAGACAAAGAAGGCAAACTGACACGTGATTGGCAATGCGACCTGGGAAAAAAATATGATGGTAGGTTTACAGAATTTCTTTGTTGGCAATATGTTCGCTTGTGTAGCGCAAAGCGCTTAATCATTGGAGTTGTCGTAAGGTTTTGCACAATCGTTATTCCACAATCATTTACACAAGTCTAAAGAAAAACTATTGTCGTTGAAAAGTCTGTCTAATAGTAAATAAACACACGTCTGTAATGTATTTAGTGTGAAATTCTTATATAAATTTTAACTGCAATATCGATGACAGTAATTGTCAACGTGCGAAAAACAAGTACATTATGCTAAAATACCCCAAACATTATGTTGTGAGGCCTAAGTCTGTTGACTCGAGTTTAGCAAATATCGGCATTATTCGGTTTTTTTGTTGCCTTTTTTTAAATTTAAAGATGTTAACTAAAAATAAAATAAAGGTTGGTAACGGCGATCATTTAGATATAGACCCTAGGTAACATTACCTGTATAGGCGATTTCTTCAAACTAGTAGATTTTGTTTCCACCTTTAAATAGGACTACTATTGGTCAGCGAATATTTGGATTTGCATGTCTTCGCTGTCAAAAACACCAAGGATCCGACAACTTATTTCCAGTTGAGTATCTGGTGGAGACTCGGGCCTTTTCCGAAGAGCGTTCTATTTATTTTGCACATAGCCAATGTTACGCACGTGACCAACGGCTTTAACGTCATGTGAAAGACGGTGCCGCGAATGGTACCGTATGCTATTGAAACTTGAATATGAATTATTGAATATCAAATTGATATGAATGAAAAGAATATAAGTTACATTTTTACATGGACTGGTTTCGTGTTCACAATTTAAAGGAATGTACAAGCGACTTTATGACGGATAAAATGGAGAATAATAGTAATCAACATATTATATTCTTATAATATAGGCCGATAATCTCAAGTGGTAGGAATGGTTAGAGCAAGTCTGTAATCTGAGTCACAAGCATTAAAGAGCGGTTGGAAAAGATTGGAGGAAAGCCATAGAAATCAGATGGTGTGTTTTTAGAACGATCAGGCCTACCAAAACTCAAAGAATGTTTCACTCTAGGCTTAATATACGCAGTGGTGTAACGATGCGCTCTCGTGAGGCGGTCCGCAGGGCCCCGACCTTTAGGGCCCAGAATGACCCTCACCCATAGTGTCCTCGATCTAGTACATTGACCCAAAAGTCTTTGTTGATACATAACAGCAATAGGCCTATGTCTCTGACATCGACTATAGGACATATATCATATCCAGTGGCGGATTAATTTAAGTCTGTAAGTGCCATAATCATAAATTTCTTACATCAGCCCAACCATGGTGGGCCCGAGGTGGTACATACCCTCTATCTGTAAACGTCCTTCCATACCCTCCCCCACCTATTTTAAATTCCTGGATCCCCACTGATATCATAACATTTATTTCGTCGTTGAAATCATTAAAAAAAAAACAACAACAACAAGCCCATCTAAAATGGCCCAAGTCTCAGAAAGCCACAGGGTCTCGACCCCATTGCTACCTGTATACACGTCGTCCTTTATTTGCTGCTAAAATATTATATCAGAAATACAAAACTGAAGTTAAAACTATTTAAAAATAAGACTGCTAAAATATTATATCAGAAATACAAAACTGAAGTTAAAACTATTTAAAAATAAGATTTTGGTAAGTAGCCATTCACTAATGATTTAAATTAATTTTGACAGCACTACAATAATGTCGATAAGCATAGGCCTATTTAAGTTCGAGACTTTCACAGAATTGACTGAAGCCAGAAAAATATTAAAAGAACTCGATCAGACCACTCACATTCCCGGACCCCTCGTCAT